AAAAAAAAAAAAAAAAGAAAAGAAATAAAATTTCCACAAATTTAAAGATCTAATCAGCTTTTACTAGTGATTCATATGTTGGGCAGTACCACATCTAAAGATTTTGAAAGGTGCTCCTATGAGCTGAACAGAGGAGGTGGGCTTTAGAGAGAGAAAAGGCTGAAGTAAACAGAAACATGCAGCAAAAAGTGGAGTGTTTGTTACCAAGGTTTTTTGTGTTTGTTGTTTGTTTTTGAGACAGAGTCTTACTTTGTCACCCAATAGAGTGCTCTGGCTTCACAGCTCACAGCAACCTCAAACTCTTGGGCTCAAGTGATCACCTTGCCTCAGCCTTCTGAGTAGCTGAGACTACAGGTGCTCACCACAATGTGCAGCTATTTTAATTTATTTATTTTTTGAGACAGAGTCTTGCTTTGTCACCCTTGGTAGAGTGCTGTGGCATCATAGCTCACAGCAACCTCAAAGTCTTGGCTCAAGGCGCCTGCCACAATGCTCAGCTATTTTTAGAGCTGAGGTCTTGCTCTGGCTTAGGCTAGTCTCAAATTTGTAAACTCAGGCAATCCACATCCTTTGGCCTCCCAGAGTGCTGGGATTACAGGCGTAAACCACCACACTCCACCTTGTAGCTACTTTTAGAGATGGGTCTTGGTTTTGCTCTTGCTGGTCTCTGAACTCCTGAGTTGAAGCAATCCACCTGCCCTGATCTCTCAGAGTTCTATGACAGGTGTGAGCCCCTCACCCAGGCCAGGCCCAAAATTGTGCTTGCCACTCTGAGAGACCAAGGTGGGTGGATTGCTTGAGCTTAGGAGTTTGAGGCTAGCCTAAGCAAGAGTGAGACTCTGTCTCAACCAAGAAAATAGTGATCTATGATGCCTTGGCACACTATTGAGGGCAGCAAAAAGAAAAAAAAAATACAAAAGCTAGCCAGGTGTGTTGGCAAGTATCTGTAGTCCCAACTACTTGGGAGGCTGAGGCAAGAGGATCACTCAAACCCAGACATTTGAAGTTGCTGTGAGCTATGATGCCATGGCACTCTACCTAGGGTGACGACTGTCTCAAAACAAAACACAATAAAATAAAGTTGAACTTGATTACATGGCACCTTGCCCTAGGGACACTATGCTGGTTTGGTTTGGTCTGTTGGGCCTAGTGCAGGAGCTCAGTCCAAAACAGTGGCCTCCCATCATTTTTATTTAACACATTTAGTCCAATTTATAAAACATACAACATGGAAAGCAGAAGTTATTGCTGTGACAGTAACTAGATTGGGGTTTTGGGGGGAAATAAGGTCATTGGTTATACATGAAAAGAGAAAACATTTTGGCCAGGTACAGTGGCTCATGCCTGTAATCCTAGCACTCTGGATTCAGCCTTTTCTCTCTCTAGCCAAGGCAGGTGGATTGCCTGAGCTCATGAGTTCAAGTCCAGCCTGAGCCACAGTGAGACCTAAGCTCTAAAAATAGCCAGGCACTGTGGCAGCTGCCTGTAGTCCCAGCTACTTGGGAGGCTGAGACAAGAGAATCGCTTAAGCTCAAGAGTTTGAGATTGCTGTAAGTGGTGATACCACAGCATTCTACTGAGGGTGACAAGTGAAACTCTGTCTCAAAAAAAAGGGTGGTGCCAGTGCCTCAGTGAGTTGGGTGCTGGCCCCATATGGCCCCGGCGAAAACTGCAACAAAAGCCGGGCACTGTGGCGGGCACCTGTAGTCCCAGCTACTCGGGAGCCTGAGAGGCAAGAGAATGGCCTAGCCCAAGAGTTGGAGGTTGCTTAAAGTGAGACTCAGTTTCTTAAAAAAAAAAGATAAAACATTTTAAGGGAAAGTTAACATTTAATAAATAAGTTCTGACTGACCTTTTACTTTTGAAAGGAGAAAGCAGTTGTACTATGTAAAAGCTATTGGATTAACCTCTTTTCCTGACATCTGTAAATTATAGTCGTACCTTACTGAAGGATGGAGATACATTTTGAGAAATTCATTAGGTGATTTCAATCATTGTGCAAACATCATAGAGTACACTTAGGCAAACATAAATGGCATAATCTATAACCTAGTACTCCTAGGCTACAAATCTGTAGAGCACATTATATTGAATACTATAGGCATTATAGGACAATGATAAGTATTTATTTATCTAAATATACCTAAACATAGGAAAAGTACAATAAAAATACAGTATCATACTCTTAGGGGATCACTGTCATAAGTGCAATTTGATGCTGACTTAAATATCATGATTGTGCTTAACAATCCCAACAAAAGGGCAGCACCTGTGGCTCAGTGAGTAGGGCACCAGCCCCATACACTGAGGGTGGGGGGTTCAAACCTGGCCCCAACCAAACTGCAGCAAAAAATTAATTAATTAATTACTTTAATTAAAAAATAATAATAATCCCAACAAAAATCATTGTACTTCTAATCATAGAAGATAGGAAAATTTTCTTTTTTTATGTCTTCCCATTACTTGAGACTTTTTTACTAGCTTTAAAATAGAATGCTCTTTATGTATTTTTTTTTTGAGACAGTGTTACTATTTCGCCCTCAGTAGAGTGCTGTGGTGTTGCTGCTCACAGCAACCTCAAACTCTTGAGCTTAAGTGATTCCCTTGCCTCAGCCTCCCAAGCCTTTATGTATTCTTTATCTGCCCTTATTGCACCCTAACACATACTGGATCTTCCTATCTTGTGCTTAACTTTATCTGATTATTTTCATTGACTACGAAGGGGTATAGGACTGTGATGAGTCTATTTGAATTAGCAGTGTCAGATTAACTTCTTATGCAAATTGTTTTCAGGGGGAAGAAGTGAATGCTGGAAGGATTGGACTAACACTGGTAGTAGCTGGAATGGTGGGCTCTATTATCTGTGGCTTTTGGCTGGATTATACTAAAACATACAAGTAAGTGAAGGTAGATACATGTGTGGTATATAACCAAAGATATTTCCATTTTAAAGGAAACTTTTTATTTTTAAGAAATTTAAAGTGCTGCTTGGCGCCCATAGCTCAGTGAGTAGGGCGCTGACCACATACACCAAGGCTGGCGGGTTCAAGCCCAGCCTGAGCCTGCTAAACAATGACAATTGCAACCACAAAGTAGCTAGGCGCTGTGGCAGGTGCCAGTAGTCCCAGCTACTCGGGCAGCTGAGGCAGGAGAATTGCTTAAGCCTAAGAGTTTGAGGTTGCTGTGAGCTATGATGCCATAGCACTCTACCTAGGGCAACATAGTGAGACTGTGTCTCAAAAAAAAAAAAAAAAAGAACAAAAAAGAAAGAAATTTAAAGTGCTATTATTTAAATACTTAGATTCTAAACACTCTTAGGTTATCTTCACTTAATGTTTCAATATTCTATGCACTCTATTTTTTTTTTTTT